GTGTGTGCATGTGTGTGGATCATGGCTACATGCTATATATGTATGTGCTGGAGGCAGTCTTATTCTAGTGCAGTATTATTCTACAGGGAGCTGATAAGACAGTGAGTAACCAGACTCTACTATGAAGGCTTGTTGTCTGCTGGTCTTTACTCTAGCAACAACACACAGTTAGCAAGTGTTTTCCCTGCAGCTGCTCTCCCCTGCTGTGCACCCTCTTCGATGCTTAGGGACAGCACGAGTCTATGTACCAGGCCTTAACCCTTCACAAATATACAGTTAACACTTCTCTGAGAACAGACTTTCACTATTAAGCTACTGTACCAAGTTAATAAACTATTGCCAAGGGCAGATACAGCAGCAATATTCAGATTTACCAAGTCATTAAATAATGGTTTAATGGACAGAGCTAGTATACACAATAATAATATGATGTTTCAAATGGCAAATCCGCGTTGACTAACTCTATGTATTGGTAAGGCTAGCAAAAAAATATTTTTCTTGTGTATTTTAAACATGTACAGTATAATATGATCTATAAATTATACATTTCTACTGCAGTACTACCTACTTTGTTGTAAATAAATAAAGAGTAGGGTGCTACCCAAACCATGAGACTGAACCCCTTTCTATCTAACAAAGCCTGTGTTCTGCTTGCCTGCCTGCCAGACCCAAACCCACACAAAAGGATCCTTCTGCCACCGCTGCTATTGTTCCTGCCTGCTGCCTTCATTGCCTCACACTGTTGCAGTCTGGATGGTCATAGTCACACACCCTGGCAACACATACATTCTTAGGCACACTAAACAAGCATCCAGAGAAGAGCTGGAGCAAGACTGACAAACCTAAAGTGGATCTGTGTAGATAGGTAAGTAAAGCACTACTCGTGACCACATTATAGATTAGCTCAATGGGTAGGACAAAACATTACCACTTCCAGATATATAATAGAAAATTATAATAGCATAATGTAAAATATGAGCATGTAAAATTATAAGGCCCTTCAGAAAAAACAATCTTTACTCTTTTTGCCAATGCTGAATCACTGACCTAAGAAATTAGTGTTTAATGTTTGCAGTGGCATGTTATATGTTTGAACAGGACTGTACGTGACTAAAAAGTGATAATTTTGCAATTTGTTGATAGACAGCATTCTGCATACACACAAAAATCAGCTGGCACTGATGCACAGACTTACCCACGCATGTACAGGTTGGGAACTCTGCCTGCAGATCCTTTGAAGGAGTATCCAGCAAGCTCTTGGTGGAGCTGTCCAGGTAGCGCAAAGGAGACTCTAGGAAGCCTTTGAGAGATGGAGAGGAGGGCAGACTGTCCTTGGTTGGTGTGTCATCTTCAGAATAGCACGTGGTGGACAGTACGGCTATATCACCCGAGGCTTCAATCTTCATACGTTTCGGCAATGGGGAACATGGCATGCTGAACGTATCCTCCAACGCTCTAGGCTGCTGCTGCCTGTCCAGTATGGCCTCTTGATGCAGAGAAACAGGAAAGGGACCCATATGCTGCTTCTCATCAGGACTTTCTGTGGACACCTGGCTCAAGGTTACTTTACTTTGGGTCCCTGACTCATCCTTGTTGACTTCAATCTCCTGATGGTCTGAATGAGGCGTGGAGCTGGCTTGAGCGGTTGAAACTAAGGGAACCGATTGAGATGTGGATGATGATGTGGGACTGAGGCCCTGAGGACTGATCAGGGATTGATTACCTGGCTTAGGGGCTGTAGCAGTCTCCTCCATGGGCTGACTGGCAGGTGTGTCTGAGGCTGAGTCCCCAAATTCAGCCTCAAACTGGCGGATCAACTCTTCATACTTCGGGTCAATGTTGATGAGACTCTGTAATCTTGAGGTGCTGGATGGAGATGTGGAGGTCACAGGTGTGGTGGTGCTGGTGTTACTGGAGGCCAGGCTGCCTGCTCCTTCTGACCTAACATGAGCTGCAGGAGCCACAGGTGGGGGCAGAGGGCCCATGAGAGCTGGAGTGTTTTCTGACAAAACAGAAACGGTGGAAGAGGGAGTCATTGAGGAGTTGAAAATGGATACCTGAGATTGGGCTGGGGCAGGAAGGCCTGCAGCAGCAGCCTGAGTGGAGTTACTGTGGAAGGGCAGAGAGGGGAGAGGACCTGCTTGCAGGCTGGTCGGGGCTGGGGCTCTGTCAATCATGAGGACCGGTGGTTTTTGTACGGTGATCTGAGTCTGAGGCAGGAAGGTTGGCATGGAGGCTTTCTGCTTGGTCTTCTTGATGATTATCTGTTTGGGTTTAGGAAGTGGAGGGCCTATAAGCATTCCACTCATAGGTTTAATGACAGGAGATCCTTGGCTGCTTTTTTTCTTCTTGGGTTCCTTGGGCTCCTGTTTGATGGCCAGATGGGACAAACTTTCTGCATCCATCTGTGGCCACCACTTTTTCAAGTTTTGGCAAGCCATAGGTGCATGTGGGCCTGGTGCTCCAAAGCCAGAGGAGTGGTTAGAGAAGAGGTTCCTCTTGTAGTGAAGGTGATGTTGCAGAGCTGCCTGAGTGGAGTGGCTGATGGCTGCTTGGCCAGGAGATAGGGGAGTGCCAGGGTAATGCTGACCCTGCTGTTGACCATTAGCCATGCCATACTGTCCCATGGAGGCAGTGTGATGGTAGTACTCACTGGAGTCTGACTCTTGTTTTATTCTGGCCAATGCTGGGTTGTCCTGTGCCTGGATACCCCCATTCTGGTTCAAGCTAAGCTGCTGTACAACTGGAAGCTTGAAAGGAGCATTGCTGAACTTTCCACTGGTGTCACCAAGCAGCTGTTTGAGCTCTGACATGGGGTCTGAGCTACTGTGAGGTGCAGTGGCAAAGTGAGATTGGGGCTCAGACTTCAAACACATCCATGGGTTCCTCTGTTCAGAGCCTCTGCCTGAGCCCTGCTGCCACTGCTGGGGGCTAGGGCTAAAGCCTTGAGGTTTTCCCTGACCTGGGAAGGGAGAGGTAGAGGATGGAAGAGGGGTGGCATGGGGTGGTTGGCCCTGGGACTGGGGTCTGTGGTGCTCACATGATGCCTGCTGGCTGGTGTGTAGGCCTGGAGGGACAGACTGAGACCGCGAGGAAGATGAGTGGGTGCCAGGAGAGGATGGGATCAAGCCAGTGCCATTTGGAGGCTGAGATATGATGTTCTGGGTATGTTGGTGGTGATGGAGGTGACTTTTGTAAAGGGTTTGACCTGGAGGACCGGTAGCTTGTGGACTGGTACCAGATAACTGGGTCAGGGCATCGATCGCAATGGCTGTCTGAAGACTGATGTTCTTTTCCTTGGCTATGGAGAGCACCTGGGGGGAGCAGGGGATTGGAGGTTTAGAGCAGGGCACTTGGTTTGGGTGAGGGCCTTGAGTTACTTGTTGACGCTGGGAGCATGAAGTAGACAGATGGTGGCCGCCGTTCACCTGTTGGGAGGGCTGAGGGTGATTCTGCAAATGGGGTGGCTGTAAATGAGGCTGTACGTGAGGGGGGGCATCAGCCATTTTGTGGGAGCGTTGATCCTCACTGGTTGCTAGCTTAATCTTCTTCTCCAGCCACTCAAGGTAGTCTGGACAGTCAGGCCCATCACAGTTGCAGTTAGGGGGCTTGTGTCCATGTTTGGCTTGGCTCAGTGCTGTCTGAAGGGTGTCCAGGTCTTCTGGAGGTTGGCAGCTTCCCTCAGGAGCCCCTGTAGAAAGTCTGGCATGAGTTCCCCCAGCACCTGTCTCCTGAGTGAACTTCTCATACAGCTGGGCAGTATTAGGCTGCACAAGGAGGCAGGAGGAGGAGGAAGAAGGAGGCAAGGAACCCGCAATAGCAGAAAAAGCAACCAGATTGTGGGCATCCTCCACATTTGCATGGTGGACAGGTTCACCGGGGGTTGTACCACTGCTGCTGCTCCAACATGGCTGCTGTTGTTGGGTGTCACTGACCTTGCCATGTCCTGGCACCCAGCTTTGCCTCGAAGGCACACTTCCTGCCCTCTGCTGCTCTTTTTCTATAGACGCCTCATCATCATTAGGGTAGCGATTCACCCCATTGGCCAGTTCCAGGCTCAGCGCGCCTTCCTGGAGGCGGTCATGTGACCCAATTTCCATCTGGCCTCCACTTCTGGGGCCATCCACTGAAGTGACTTTGTGAACAGTCTGAAAGACAAAAATGGAGCAAGGTTAGTGAGGTTAATAAATTCAAGACTGATGCAAAACGACACACCTATATTGGGATGACTTTGAAATGATGGTCTGAAGTTCTGCATATGTGTTTAATCACTATTTTGGAATAAAATAAATATTTTTCTTTCATACTACAACTTGATGGACTAACAACCAAGTAATACATAACTTTATTACTTTCCTCCCAGTGTTTACCTCCCACCTCACACATAAACACACAGTGCTGCAGGGTGAGGTCGGTAACACTAAGGAAAAGTGAGTTAAACTACTACAGTATTCAGTGGAGTGATTTCACTTCAGGCATATGACACAGCTCCACTGTTGTTAAATGAATGGACACTGCTCCAGATCAGTTGGGCTATGCAAAACAGGCAGTTGGGAGTTAAAACATGTCAACTGTGGAATAACGAGACTGTGTGGCAGAGATGGGGCATTGCATACACACTGACATGAAAAGAAAATGAAATACACTGCAACTTCACTTTCATAAACTGTTCATTTTTTAAATTTAAAAATAAATATATGTAAAACAGCATAAAAATTAGCTGTAAGCAGAGAATAAGTAACAAAAGGGTAAAACTACGCATTTTACTTGGTTGATACTGTAATAAATAGGAGAAGCAAATGTCAAATATATATGTAGTGTAGCTCTTTAGAAAAAGAAATATAAATCTGTTTACATCTGATTATAACATCTTTATGCTCATAAATATGAACGGCTTATCATTAACCAAAACCATACACTGACTAAGTTATTGTTGTCTTTTCTACTGTACACTTGTTATAATTTTCTAAGAAAGCCATTATTGAAATACAGCATGTGTACAATTGCTCATAATAGTCTTACTGACTTTAATTTGGTCTCTTTAGTACTGAAAATGATTTTCACAGCAAATTGCAGCTAAACTAAGAATATGACTGTGTGCAGTGCACAACTCGTTCACACGCTCATGATCACAAACCCGAGATAATGTTCCCCAGAACAAAACCTTAAATGACAAACCTCAAATGACCTGAAAGTCAGAAGATCAGCATGTCATGCTGAGATAATCTGTCGTCTAATAAACAGCATCTTATCTCAGATACAAAGCAGATACAAAGTCAGGTGAACAAAGATCATGAGGTTTATCCGAGAGGCCTGACCTGACCAAGTGTAGAACTACAAATACTGGAATTCTTGATTAAAGTGTGAAGGAAAGTCTTGTATGAATATAGTATGGTGTTTTATTATTACAGTTATTGTAAGGGTATGTGCTAAAGTTTGGTGGCGTGGTTCTACTTTCTTGATGCTCTCACTTTGTTGTATTCCTCAAGCAAAGCACTGAGCTGATACACAGCATTCAAAGCACATGAACACATTCATTTGCAGCAAAATCATAATGTAAAAGGAGTGTGTATGTGTGTGTTGAGAGAGATAGATATAGATTGATATAGATATTACAATAATTGTGTAGAGTTCAGAGTTGGTGTATGCAGGCATGTAGCTACCACAACACTATCCATGACCCTATGTCGAAACATCAAGAGGAGTTAATGAAGACAGAAAGGTGAAGCAAATATTCAGGTCTGACTTGATCAGCATGATCTCTTCTCAGCAGTCGAAAGACCTCAACCTGACTAAAGCATTTTGGAAAAGTTTGAAAAAGGAGAAACATTTTATAGTTATCCAAGTTAAACTCTAAGATGTTGTAAATGATTGAACGGAATAATGTAGACTCTGAAGTTTTGCACAGCTTTTTAGAACTGCTGACAGAGTCAAAGCAAGCTGTAAATCCAGCATATCACTTGAGTCACTATTATAAGACTAACAGGACTCCGGCGACCGCGATGTGTTATTTTTGGACAAATGTGCTACTATGAAAACACCACTCTCTTTGTGCACTTGATTCAAATCATTATTTCAAAGAGCAACTTGCAGGTTAACTTTTTTTTTTTTTTTTACTAACTTTATACTTCATATTTCTTTAAAATCAGCAATTGAAAACTTAAGGCTTGATTTATTATGTTTCACGAGACATAATGGCAATAATTCAGAGGAAAGAGTAGGCACATTGAGCAGTCCTCTTAAAACACTTCGTCATATTACATCACATAATCTGAGTGTGTAATCGTAGGTGGGAAACTGGTCTTTTTTGCTGATAACCTGGCATTTCCCAATTTTCTATCATGGTGATTTATTGTGTTTGTGCAGCTTGCACAAACTCCTGTCGCGACATCTCATTCCACACTTCTCCGAACAACAGGGCGAGCTTTTGTCGCTGGGTGCACTTTCTTACAGGTGAAGACACTTCACCTGTAAGAGACTTGTTCGCTCACTGTAGCCGGAGAATTATGATCCTGGTGCTACAATGGATTTATGGAATGGATGTAAAAGCCAGGACATGTGAGACTGATAGGTGGTTCAGTTCCTTTGGTACACACAGTAGCATTGTCTGGGACTGCTACTGGTGGGAATAATGGTTACAGATCTCAGAGAATTAGCTTGACAAAAATGCAAACTGTGCATTCTAAGTCTTCCTTTATGTGTAAAAACATCTAATAACGGTAGCTCTCTATCACCTCTTTCTCTCTCTCACGGCATATGGTTTATATGAGTATCAATGCTCCAGTATTAAACAGACAATACTAGGTGTGCTGTATTCTATGTAATGCCAAACTTTACGGTACTATGATAAAACGCAACATTAGCTAACTAACATAACCAAGACACCTCCCCTGCTCTCTGCTAGTTCTGATGGCTGTTACTTCTCTTAGTTCTTAACTGTTTCTGGTCTCTACAGCATCTAACAGTTCATAACTATAAAGCTGTGGGCCATCATATGCACATAAATACACATTTTTGACCTTTTCTGTGCAAAACTACTGTTTGGATCCATATTTCTTCTTGTCAAACTGGACCTAGCTCAGCTGCCCTTCCTTTTGTGAGATCTCAATCAAGTTGTTTCTTGAAGGTGACTTAAAACTGTGTTTAAAAAAAAAGAGACTGGTATTCGTGAGATTACTCAAAAATAGACATACCCCCCCCCCAAAAAAACAAAAAACTAGTCTGCTTCATCTTATTACACATTAAAAAGCTGCAGGCACCAACCTGCAAGCTGCTGTTTTACTTACGGTAGTTCATATTAGTAAAACGTAATCTTGAGGAATCCAGTATAACCAACCTTTTTTTTCATTGTCAATGATAAAACAGAAGAGTTCAATGAGTAACTTTCTGTTCATGCAGTTAAAGCATCCCAGTATGTAGCATTTTTAAAAAAAGACGTACGTGGTTTTTTTTGTTTTGTTTTTAAAAAAAAAAAAAACATGCTTACATAGAGTAAATGAGTGATGAATCCTTCCCTGATCTTTTTCACTTCAGCAGGTTTAAATTCCTTCTCAGAGGTAACTCGAGTCAAGAGCTGATCAGTGGAGCCACATACCTCACTTCCTCTCTACTTTAAAATTGGGACAGTTACCACATTTGTAGCTACACTGAAGTTTGCAAAACACACAGTTTCAACATGTTGTGTTCAATTTAGTCAGCTGGAAGCACTAGGTGGGTGAGTTTGACTGAATGGTGCTTGGTTAGACTGGTGTGGACCATTAGAAAGAAATGTTGCTAAATTGCTTTTACATGACTACAAATCTAAATTAGCTTCAGATGGTAAAAACAACTACAGTCCTCAAAGTCACTTGAATTCTAAGATGTTACTTGCAAACAATATTAAAGCCCAGGTTGGCTCATCACAGATTATAATTAAATAAGTCTAGCGAGGAACAGCAAACAAAGATAACCCAAGGGCAGGTTCAGAAATCATTGACAGAGTTCATGTTGTGGCTGAACAGTGTATTCCAACATATTCAGTGGCTCTTGTGAAAGGAAAACAATGGAAGAGTCACTATTTAAATAGATTTGTTGTGCTCGCCTCATAGAAAGAAGCCAGCACACTGCACTAATGTCAAATTCTCTGCGTTTACTATAAACAGTAAAGATACCCTCAACAAGCACTTTCTGAATGCCATACTCTACGCAGGAGCTTTAACTGTAAAAGACACCATCAGGCATCAAAATTCTGGTTGCAAGTACAAGACTTCCTGCAAAAAAGAAAAAAACAACACAAAAACTAATCAAAGATAACATGATCAAGATATAGAAATTATTTTTTTGGTCAATGCACAGAAACTAACCTCAGGCAAACCAAAGATATTGGAAACCAACATAAATATGAAGTAGTTTCTAATTTAAATCTGAACCACCCAGTATTCTATCATCTTCAGCCAGAAAAAAGGCAGAAGATGGCTTCTGTTTGTAGATCCATCAGTGTACGATAGTAGAAGTGAGCCTGACGTCCAGCTTCCCCATCATTTGAATATTATTGAAATGAGCCTTTGAAGTGGCTAATTACTGGACAGGCAGTAAGCTTGGGTCTTTTGAATCCACCTTCTGCGCTGGGTGTCTGGTGGGGGTCCCAGGGGGTGCCGACACTATTGGCGAGAGGTGGTGTGGGGTTGGAGGGGGGAGGTTCAGGGGTGGCGGTGAACAGCCGGCATGCAATACGTGAGAGGCCCCATGTCTGTACTATCAGTGGCATCAGACGGGAAAGAGGAAGGAGGGGGGGAGGTAGCTGTGTGCGGCAGTTATGAGAACTGCAGTGTGTTGAAACAGTGACTGCAACACTGCACAACCTAACATCCCACAATCACGCACATCAGTCACGCTGACACTCTCTTTTCCTCTTTTTCTCACAGTCACACACACAAAACACTGCCTCAGAAAAAGTTGCATCGGTTCAAAGTGTCTTAAACCTCACATTTAGAACAAATGTTTGCCAGTGCCTAAAACAAACACCTCTCCGCACACAAAATTACAACTCTTTCAATTCTCATATAATCTAATGATTAACCTTGAAAGCTCTTTACTTGTGAGGCCATATGCCGGTCTAGGATGGAAATGCTGCGCTGACACCTGCAGCGCTTTTACACCTATCCGGGTG